TTAGCTTTTTTTCAGTCAGTACTGCCCAATCAAGTGTGAAGGCTTTGAAATGTCAATTAACATGTATGTCTGTCTCATTAATCAGATCCGTTACAAATCTCAGAATACATAAAATGAACTTGTATTCGATATGCAGATTGATTCTTGAGATAGGATATCTTCATGTTAATGTTCACAACACTTAAAAAAGCCATTTTCGGGATAACAAGCTCCGAACCACCCATGTGTGCACTTGATGCGTGTGCAAAACTGACATGATCATTGTTCACCGCTCTTGATTTACTCTTACTTCAGTCAAGGAAAAAAATCGGTTTCTAATGTGTTTGTTGCAGATGGAAAGCACAAATTTTAACGTACGTTTTTTAGCTTCACAACAGGCCTTAACAGCACGTGGAATAGAGACACATGTCCCATGGTTGTCTTTAAAATCGTGTGTGTCAGTTAAAATGTGATTGCTGTGAACGAGATCGGTGTCAAGTCTTGATTTGTGTATCCACGTCGATGTTTGATAAGGACTGCACAGAGGTCAATCGATGTTTACTTTGTGCCTCCACCTTGTAGGCGTTTCATTGTATTAAAATTTGTGTTTAGGTACAGGTGTATAATTTTGCCTTATAATCTAATGTTTTAAATGATCTGAACTCTCAAGTTATGGTAACTGCTGTGTTGTACCTTGTACTTTTTACTGTGAAACTTGGTGAACTTAACACAGTTTGAGACTTTTTAATGAACAAAATTATACATTTAAGAAATTTTTCTTCGGATATTTTAAAGTATTTAATCCATTGTTTGCTTTACGGGTCGCAGTCAAGGTTTTATTGGCCATTCTGTTTCTGGGCTATTAACCCTAATAGTCCCAAATTCTCCAATTTCAATACGATTTTACATACGCCCTAGGGGGTTAGGGTTACTACTTAATGGCATATTAGAAGCTTTTGGCACCGTCTTCAGATAGTGTAACTAGCGTTGTAACAAGTACGGGTTCGGCTGATAGTTCTGACACTGAAAACAGATCAGTAAGGTCCAAGTATCAGTGCTGTCCAAAGGATTTTTTATGTAGGCACCACTGCCTAATCATCGAAAGGAAGGCTTAATCATTCTTTTAGAAATACAGATTAACTTTCCTGACATGAAAGTTTCAACCCTTCGTGAATGAAGTAGGTTTGTTTTAGTCGTGAAAGTCATACTTTGCAGCATTGTGGAAGTGTGCAATGAATTGTTGTTTTCACCATTTGAAATTACCTTTCGAATGTGTGTATTTTTAAATAGGTACTCAGATATTTAAAAACGAGAGGTTTATTTTCTCGGTGTTATAAAAGACAACATTCCCAGAAATCTGAAGTGCACTTGTATAAAGATAACAGATTACTGAAAAGATATATTTATGGAGCTTATAGAAAGCATATTTATGCCTCTGATATTGTGTCATTGTTTTATTGCTTGTTAATGGTTATTGCCCTGCCGGCTGTTCATCGTGTTTACTGTTGACTTCACTTTTTACTTGTGTTATAAGGTGTATAATGAAGAACAAAGTTCAACGAAATGGTATTCTCACTGTATGAAAGAAGTCGAGAAAGGAAATGATACAAGAGCAGTAAACAATACAATGCAGCACTATGTTTATGAAACAGATCCTTTGTCTTGGTTGATTTCTTCATGTCGACCGTATTGTGGGCCATGGTCTCGCAACCTGGGAAGGGTGTGGCTGTCGACACTTGTCTCAGCAATTTTGGCCACAATTGTTGGATTGGGTATGGCCCAGGATCATGTCTGTAGATTCAGGGGCTCCCATCCTGGGGCAAAGAAGACGAAAACGTTGTTGCAAAAAAAATGTCAGAAGAGCCTCAGAAAGTGGAAGGGTTTCATTTGAAAATGGCTACTGGGAAGACTGGGGAACGTTCACTTTTTGGGGTGAGTTTGTTTAAACGGATAATTAAAAATTCATTGGTTATCCTCAAATTTGAAAATCGAATGACATCTGCAGGACCAAAGAACACAATGTTTTCGTTTTGAGAGACCTCGGGGACTTAGGTCGCCCGCAATGGGGCTCCAAACTTAGTTTATTTTACGCCTCTTTGAATGGAGCTTGAATTAGTTCAGTGCACCCATTTCTGCACGTCTTGAGCATTTTAGCAATACTGATCACACCCAGAGCAGTCTAAGTTGTCAAAATGACCACAAAATTTTCTTTAAAACTATGAAGCGTGAAAAAGCTGTTACGACCCTATCGGGGAAAATGTTTCGGGCTATTCTAACCACCGGTCCTTTGGGGTTAAAAGATCCATTATGATGTACTTTCTGGACTGCATCTATAAGTACCATGTTTCAAAATTATCCTGTTTCCTCCTGTTACTGAAATACATGTACTGCTATATCGCCAACTATGTTTAACAACACATTTGACAACATTTTTGCTAATATGCTGAGAAGTTCCTTGGGAAGTAAACAATTGGCTTACGTTCAGTGGCATTCATCCTGACAAGAACAAACCACTACAGTACAGCTTTCTTCCATCAACATCATTTCTTGCAGCCTTTGTGGCAACCATGGAAAACCAGTTCACAGCAAACTGATGCTGCTTCACGCAGTGTTGTCCAAAGGGTTCATGCGTGAAGGATCCATCGTTATGAGCCCATCCTCAGCTGGTAGGAGCTGGCAGAGAGCCAGCCATGTCACTAATGCTTGACTCTACATAGCGGTATGACCTGGCCAAATCTCGTTGGGCAGCGCCCTCCCCCCTCCTCTCAGTGTTGGGTCTCAATGCGCGACCTGCACTCCAGCTCGAGATGATAACAGGCTGAGCGGGGATTGGGGGACCTGGGGAGGGCTTGGCATGCATGTATATTTAAACGTGTCCCAACAATTTTGGCCAGGATTGTAGAACATCATTATTCTGATTTATTGTGTGGACCGGTGATCGCATCTCTGACAATCAATACTGCGCTTGGGCACTAATGTTATGGTAATGCTGATTAGAATCCCCTCACTTTCCACGCCGTGATCTTATCTTGAACACATGCCATGCAGTACTCTTTCCACTTACCGCCAATCACAGAGTGTAGTCTCTCTGTAAAGTTGGTTTTGTCCAGAGCTTTTCAATACAAGCCTCCCCGCTTTTGAACCCCCCCCATTATATTGGTTTTCCCTTTACTTTTGTATTTCTTGTCTTTGTTACTCTATAATTATCTCTCGATTTATATATTTGTACTGTTATTGTTTACTTTACCTGATCTTGACCAATATGAAAATAAACGTCACATTGACCGATTGATTTTATACCACTGCAATAAAATAACGTAAAGGTTGGCATTGGAAATACCTGCCAATTCGACGATAATTAAGTCATTTTGATTTGTTTGTTTTGATGTGACGGCCTTTATCTTTACACCGCAGGATCTTGACCTCACCTCCTTGCTTGAAATAACCTCAATTCCAACTTTGTTGCTTTTTTTAAAAGACTGAAAAGAAAAGCTGTCAGGGAGAACATTTAATGTTGATGACCGTCGTTTGTGTGAAGGTGTATTTTCGCCGCGTGATGCACTGTTGTAGCGTTCCAATCAGTCTTTACGCAGCGACGTTCTGTGAAGTAACATTAATGATTATGAACACCTAAAAGCAATATCTCTGAAACGGCCGAGCGGTTAGGCTCGCGGTTAGCAGATCGTCAGACGGTGGGTTCGAATCCCAGAGACGACTTTTTATTTTCCCAACGCTTGCTGTCAGTCAGTAGCTATAAGAGACTCTAATTCACCCCCGTCAAATACCAACAGTACCTTAGCCCACGGGATAAGCTCTGCGGTTGGGACTGTCCGCGAAGTCCAGGTGAGCGCCTTAGTACAGGTTCGAGACATGTGGCCGACTCGGTGGCCAGGGCTTAGGGGCCTGTCTCGTTTCCTCCCTTGCATGGTCGCTCGAATCCTTTTTAGGGTTAAATGGATGGGCAGGGAGGAAGTGCGTTGGGCCGGGAACCCCGAGATCCCAGAGA